TATGGATTACGCCAAAACGTATTATTCCAATATAAAAGATTAAAGCCGATATTAGCGACGAGTCACCGAATTAGGTGTTCAATATGTGCATGCATGATGTAATTCGTCACTTATTTATCCACATGTTATATTGTTATATTTTGACCTTGGCCCTTGGGTACTGCCTATAGATAATTATGTGACGAAATGAATCACGCATCCCCATATCGAACACTTAATTCAGAGACTTATATATTGTTGAATTTTTTTTTTAGTTTATAAGTCGATTCTGGATTTACCTATACCCCACAGTAGCTGTACAATATAGAGAAATTATGATGCCTTATCACGTGTTTTTCAGTGTTTCGAGCTTTGTATKGGCGATTGTATTTGGTGGATAGAGTTCTGCGAATTTTTTCATTGTATACATTATAATACCCAAACGGTAAAATAATTTAAGATATATTAAAACTATGTAATTCTTTTACAGGTATAGGGAATATGAACTATTTCCAGCGTAAGGTATAATTGGTAACTACTTAGGTTTATTATGAATTTTTTACGGTGGTTTAGTGGTTTATATGGTCATCAAACCAGAATTCAAGAGATATCCTGCAACAGAATATCAGCTATTAATCTAGTATAATAAATATTATAAAGCGTATCTATAATATTGTTATGTTTTGCATGTGTCTAATTTAAAATTAAAATTATAAAATAAAATAATGATAAATCAAGGGGCAAACGTAAACTACGCCCAACAAAAGGAAATAGTTGTAAATTGTGCCCGGTATTTTTCAGGTATAAATTTTTGTGTAGTAAATTGCGCCCGGTATTTTTCAGGTACAAATTTCTGTATAGTAAATCGCGCCCAATAGAAGTATTATTTGTATGATAGTCATTTAGCATTACCCAGAGGACACCACGAGGAGGCGACTATCACTGTCCTCCAAAAAATTTTTTTTTTGGCTTAATTGAAATGAATAAATTAAAAAAAAAAATAGGAATTAATAAAAATAGGAAAATTAAATTTTTTTTTTTAAATGTTAGTATGTATAATATTCATAATATTTATATAATGTTTAACTGTTGCGTGCAAACGGCTTACTAAAATGTACGTATGTAGGTATTACGGGCTGTACGTAGTCGTTGTCAGTGTTGGTGAGTTGCGGCCCAAACCCTAAATAACGTACGAGTTGCGGCCCGGGTTTATGAAAGGTACGTACGAATTGCGGGTATACAATAATTGAATAATTTATATATTACATATATATATATATATATATTATATATAATATATACTATATACTATATGTCTATATGTATATAGTATATAAACATCACAATATTATGTAGGTATTTTCTAATATAAATTGACGTACTTATAATAATATTGGTCGTAAAGAAAATAAAAGTATTCATAAAATTATAGAATATAATATAATATATTAATATTATAACAGTATATTAAATAATAAAAAATAAAAGTATAATTGGTGTAATATATTATGATAATAATGTCCAAAAAAAATCAAAGCATTCATAATATAAGTCATATATGGCARATAATACGATAAAACCACGGTTTAAGATATATCTATATTTTTAACCGTGGTTTTAAGACGGGTTGAAAACGATCTATATTATCTTTATCATATTATRTACAAAAATATAACTTCCCATACGTATTAACATTTCGTTTATCGTTATTCGTTTATACGGTACATAGGTAATAGGTATATAATATAATATATATTATWTAAGTAAGGTACATAATATGTAATGATAATTAAGTACTTGGGCCGCAACTCACCTATCGCTAAAATATTGCCGGGCTGCAACTAACCTATAGGTACCAAAAATATTATCGGGCCGGAATTCACTGGTCTCCAACACCGGAAACGAAAGGTCGGGCCGCAACTCACCCTCAGCCAAGGTTGTATACGCGTAAAGGCATTGATATCGCTAACATCATATCGATTTTAGCGATAAACGTTCGGCTTATCCACCTATAAATGAACAACAGTATTTTTAAAATACACATAATAGGTAACGATGAATTCAAGAAAGTAGATACTATGGGTGCAATTATTTACTATACCCGTTTTAGACCCCGAAAAATCCCGGGTGCAATTTACTATACCTATTTTAGAACCAAAAAAATCCCGGGCGCAATTTACTATAGTATTTTTACTACCTACTTAATGTGGGCGCAATTTACAAGCGCCCAAATCAAGTTCCATATTTTTTTCTTAACATATATCAAACATGGATGTACGACCTTTGTTAAGTTTGTATAGATAAATAAAAAATAACGTATAGGAAGTATATAATATTGATAAAGATAAATTAGTTTTATCAAAACGTAGGTAAATAAATTTAAAAAAATCATAAATTATGATTAAAATCAAGGGAAGGTACGTATGAACCACACCAGTATTTTTTCTAAAACATGTTAATACAGTAATACAATAAATAAAGCAGATGAAACAAGTTGACTTTGATGAACAAGTGGTAGTAATATGAGAAGGAGTCGTAACTCTTTTATTTTCACTGAATTGAATTAATCAGTACCTATTTTTTATTTGGCACTCATATGAAATTATTTTATATTGTTTTTAATTTATGTTATTAATTCTATATTGGACATAGATTGTAAATATTTGGTTGATAAAAATATGTAACTAATTTTGAATTAAGTTATTTTAAACCAGTTATAGGTTTATATATAAGGTTTATAGGTTTATATAGGTATACGTTTTAAATAATACTATAATGGTATACATTTAGTGTAATTATTGTCTGTTCATTCTTAAATTTTATGATTTTCATATTAATTATTCTTTAATATTAAACAATGCGATTAGGCTCGTCCCGTATTTAATATAAACAAATAAATATGGAAACTGTTGGGATCAGATATTTTTCCATTTTATTACATGATTTCATTTTCATTATTCTCAACATGTAGTAAAAAAAAAATAAATTTAAAAAAATATCACATCCTCATTACTCGGGTTTTGCGATTTAATAATATCGTAATGACTGATAACTGATAACAATACACACTCAAGTCTATATCTGTGTATCCGATCTGTCCATGTGTTTCAACCTCGTCACTTCGATTGCGTAAAATTAATTCGGTCCATCCTGTAAACATGGGTACATAACAATGATGATAATAATAATAATTTTCAGTGACTAAACGTAGGTTATGTTAAGTAAATATTGTAATTAGTTTGTATTCATTGTACATAATAATAATGTATACCACGATCGCCTATTGGCTAGGATTTGATTGAAAAACGATAAAAGCTATATAATACTGCAGCAGACAACTTATATTTTGTTCTGCAGTCGACGCTCGATATGATTAATATCATATAAATTATATATATAATGGTATTACAGAATATTATACTGTCCATGTAAAATTGTAAAGTCTATCACGATTTACACGCGATTTGAGTGTCAAGTTCATAGTTGTATTTGACACGTATTAAATATATTATTATTATTATACGCCGTTMAACCTATATTCGATCAATGCCAGCAATCATCGAAATGAACGCTTCGATCACGACTACTGTTTTGATCTCGACAATTGTCATTCTTATTTTGCACGCCAAGACTGCTCGTTGTTGTGTAAGTGATTTTCAATAGATTTTAATGCACCAATATGATATTTTAATATAGGGGAAGGCACCACGGAGAGAAAAGAAACATGAATCTCATCAGGCGATGAAAAATATAGCGATTGTTTAGTAGTTGGCAAATGAATAAGAGGACCCTCTTCTAATATGTATAACGGCGTGTGTCCACGCTCGAATGTGCATTTGACGGTGGCCAACGGACAATATTATACATTATCTTAAAATTTTAATAGTCAAAAATTAATGTTACTAAGTATCCATAGATGTAGATAGCCTTATAGGCAGAGACGTATTTAGAGTTTTGACGCCCCAGGTAACATTTTATAAACGCCCCTACATACCCCCTCCCTCTCAAAAAAAAATGTGAATACTTATTTTAAAAATGTTATTGACAATCTGACCATACATGTTATACAAATAACATAATTTTATAACATATTAACATTATAATTTACGCCTCGATTTTTTCTCACTGAAATCTTGTATAATTTCATAATATTGTATTTGAGTTGTTATTTCTGACTCTATATGAAGTATCGCCAAGTTATTGAGCCGATCATCAGTCATCCTAGACCTTAGATATGTTTTAACTCTCTTTAGAGCACTAAAGGATCTCTTTGATGAACAATTAGATGCTGGACAACATGAACATAAGAACATTCTGAGTGTTGACATAAGGATATATATTTTTAATTTCATCATCATGTATCATTTTAAAAATTTTTAAAGCAGTTTTAGGTATATTTTCTTTATTTGACTTTGTTAGTAAATAGCTTCTAAAATGAACATATTCATTTGGAAATGCAACAGGTAAATCGTTAGGATAACACTTCTTCAAATAATCTCCTTGTTTTCGAAATTCTGTGATACTTAACATTTCAAGCCGAAAAAAAAGAAATTTTTTATTAATCTCTTCATAAGCGCTCATCATTTTATTCAATTCAAAAATAAGAGAATCCATGATTGATATATATAATTGAATTCTAAATTTGTCTCTTGGAATTAATTTTGCTTCAGCGTCTTCAGTTTCTCCAAAAGCCAATTTTCTTTTTTTCTTTCTACTCGATATGTCTTTATACTATTTAATTCCACAATAGATAGATGAAGATAATAATTAATAATCATTATCTATGGATTTTACGCGGTCAACTTATGATAATATTATCATGAAAAATCAAAATCKCAGTGTAGCCGCTATCCAAAATCTTAAATTATTATTATTTTTTTTTATTAATTGACGAATGAAAATGGATGGGGTTATGGTTATTGGTTACGAAAAATGCTGCCGCCCCTTAATTCCAAAAAAATACGTCCCTGCTTATAGGCTAGGAATGTCTTATTATTATAAATAATAAAAAAAAATCTGATAATTTTACCTATTCCTAAGATAATGTTTATATTTATTATTTTGTGATTTGTCTAGGGCGGTTATGAGTTAGAAATCGATTACATCAGAAACTGTGACTCCGAAAACATTGTCGAACTCTCTGATAAATTTACCGTCGTCTTGAAATCAAATTGTCAAGTATATATAAACGGATGCATTACCACGTACGCCAACATCACCAGCGCCACGGTAAATATTATTAATTTTACTATTTGTTAGAGAAGAACGATTTTTATTTTTACTCGAAAAATTTGTTATGATTTGTCTTAAGAAAAAAACATATATATCAATTATTATTGATATATCATTATAATAATATTAATTTGATAATCATAGGAACTTACACCCGTAAAAATTGTACTATAATATACTTAGTAGGTAATAACTAATAATATATTGCGGTCCGTGTTCAACGATAAAAGTAACATGAAATATTTTGAACACATGGCGCTGACTTTATTTGTGTTTTTTTGGGCGCGATACGATTGCGCGTGCTATAATATTTTTACTTCTAAGTGACTTTGCCAAATATATCGGTGCACGGTAAATATCCATACGGATTGTGGATATCCGCAGGGGCGTGATTAGGGGGATGGATCCCCCCCCCCCAAAACTTTTTTGTATGTATTTTTTTTTTTTATTATAGTGATAGTACTATGATTATTATGAATTATGATTATTATTATTATTACGATTACTTCTATTATTATTATTATTACGATTACTTTTATTATTATTATTATTACGATTACTTTTATTATTATTATTATTATTATTACGATTACTTTTATCATTATTATTATTATTATTACGATTACTTTTATTATTATTACGATTACTTTTATTATTATTACGATTACTTTTATCATTATTATTATTATTATTACGATTACTTTTATTATTATTATATGATACTTCAACGCGGCCTACGTTAATTCCGACAGTCCGACCGTTTCTATACTTGTATTTCCGATTCTTAAAATAAAACATGCGGGTTGTTATCGAGAGCCGGAGAGCACACGCGCGCATTGACAAGTATACACACTCGCGCCAAATGCCAATGCACAATAGAACCCTGAACAGTGAACCATACTCAGGAGAACTAGCTGTATACCTAAAACTGGGATTGATGCACTTACAGAATGCAACAAAGAGATATACCCTAACATTTATTTATTATTAAAAATATTGTGTACATTACCCGTATCTACCACTACTCCTGAACGTATGTTTTCAGCTCTAAAAAGAGTTAAAACATACCTACGGAATACTATGACTGAAGTAAGTAGCTCTTAAAATTTGATTTATATTTCAAATTAATAATACTGACAATTAATTATTTAAATCATTTTTAGGATAGGTTAAATGAGTTAAGTATGTTGGCGGTCCATAGAGACATTAAAGTTAGTCCTGAAGATGTATTAGATGATATTGCTAAAAGACCAAGAAAATTAGATCTAGTTTTGTAAAATTATTCAAGCTACCTAAAAATATCATAAATACTTAAATTGTATATTGTATAATATATTAATATAGTTATAAAATAAATAATTTTCTAATAAATTGTATTTTTTAATAACTATAATAAAAAAAAATTTGTTCTGGTGGGGTGAG